ATGTTGTGCACAAGCATACTCCAAAGCTATAATGAGATTCTGGTGTATATTATTATATTTGGTGTATTTTATTTTTTTAAATAATTTTTATTAATAAAAGACATCAAGAGGTCATAAACAGAGGGAGAACACACCATGGCACATTTTTAAACAAGAAAGATTTATTCATCAAAGTGATTTATTAATCAAACAGACATAACATGAAAACACTTGAACAGAGAGGAGCATCATTGGTCAAAATCCATTCATCTCCCTGGGCGTCTCCTCCACCATAGACAGATAGCCACCAATACAAAAAGCCAAACAGTAACCAATTTAACCTGAGCAGAAAAACTAGAACGCTGTCAAGATGGAGTAGAAAAGGTCTCCAGAAATTGTACTACATAATTGAAATTGAAATTTGTTCAGGGTTTATAGAAAAAGCCAATATGTCAACACAACTTACTGGCAATATGTCCAATTATCAGCAGGGAAAGCAGTATTGGAGAGACATGGTGTGATGAAGAATCACTGAGGCTTATTGTCTTGTCACCATACTTTATCTAGAAAATACAAAAAAGCATTTCACAGGGTGAAGTCTCACCAGAGCAGCAGAACTATTCTCAAGGAAATATCACAATTTGAACATAACTGTTTTAAAAAAGATGTTTTAATAGATGTTTTTGGACTTGATACAAGTTTAAAGATTCTACTCAAAACTTTTGCTATTCTCACCACAGACTCATTTGATCAGTTTTGTTTTGTTTTATGTTGATTGTGTATTGAAGTTCAATATCACGTATTTATAGAATTATTTTAGAAAACAGTCATTTAAAATGATATCAGAAATATATTTTGCGTACTTTGTATGGTAACACGATTGCTATAATGTTGGACCTATTATCACAACAAATGTATCTCTATGAAAGTGTTGCCTATAGCTTAAAAGAAAGATTTACCTTTAACTTTTGGAATCGTGTGTTGGGTAGCCCTTTAATCTCACAGCTGAAGGAGTCAGTCTCTTTACTGGTTTCTTTGGCCTCCAGGATACAGCCGTATTCCTGTGTGTCTTGAACGCCCCACACTGATAACTCGTCTTTTGACATCTCCAGTTTGTCTGACTTTTTCTAAAACAACAGAAACAAAGTTTGACCTTTAATGAACTCCTGTTTGTACATGCGATAAAAAAAAAAAAGCAAAAGTTACAATGTTACCTTTAAGGTGATGCGGACATTGTTTCCTGTCCTTATGGCTGTGAAGCTGGTAAACTCAGGCTCTGGATGGTAGGTG